ATCACTGTTATTTGCCCTCCAACCTTTATCCAGGCCGAATCAAAAGGTTATCAACCCGATTTGCTAATATCAACATCCGGCCCGTTATTCAAGCCCAGCCGGTTAAAGGTATAGCCAGCCCAGTTATTCAAGATTGGACAAATCCTATAAGTTGAAGGATTTACCACAGAAGGAAGACTTTGCAATATGAAGTTCTACACAAAGCAAGTTCTGTGCATGGAAAATTAAATAATGGAAAGAACTCTAATTGTAAAGAAAGTCATACATGGAAAGAATTGGAGGACAATCAATGCGAGTCCTACCATAATTCTACTACTTTTTTTTATGTATAAATAGATGCCAAGACCTCCAATAAAAGAGATCCCAAGCGTCCAAGCAATTATACGCTTTTCTATATATTGTTCTTGGTTATTTTTATTGCTGATTGAGTGAGTTATTTTATTTCTCTTAATCATTGGCTCCATGACTTCAGATAAATGGATATCAGGTTTGGCACCGGTCACCCGATTTTTGCTTTTCATCATTAGAAATCACCGAAAATTGTTCCTGCATATGGATTGCTCGAGCTTTGCGTTTCCAAGTTTTTTGAGAGGCAACCTCTCTGGTCTGCAGAGGAGGAATCAAAGTAGTATCTTCTTGTTGCCTAGAAGAGTGGGCCAAAATTGGTCATGAGCAAACATGGTGATAGACAGGAGGATCCGTGGTTCATCCTCCGAGGTTGGTTTTTGTTGGGCTTTACTTGAAACATGAGAAAGATTGGGAGCAGGCCCAACCCAATGATCAATAGTGTGCAGCAACACCCACCGGGTCTTGATCCGTTTTAGAGAGATGGGTTCGATGTCTCTTAGGGTCAGTTTGGTAGGATGGGTTTGAAGGGAAAGGGAAGGGAAGGGGACGGAGGGTAATAAAAAAATTGTGTTTGGGTAAAGTTAGTGGAGGGAAAGGGAAGGAGAGGGAGGGGTTTGGAGGGTTATTTATAAGCAACGTACAGTAATTTTTTAACCTTCCAAAATTGGGAGGATAAGGAAGGAAAGGGAAGGCAATGGCATACAAAATATTTGTTAGGCCAATTTTACCCTCAAATTTGCTCTTCATATTAGGGCCTGTATTCAGCGCGGGAACAAAGGAAGGCGTATATTCAGCGCGGGAACAAAGGCGCCAAAATTCACTGGTATAAGAAGAAATAGGAGAGAGAAAAGGGGGAAGTGGGTTCACGTATGGGAGAGAGAGAAGGGGAAGTGGGTTCACTGCATGGTCTCTGTGCCGGAGGAGGAAGTTGATGATAGAGATAGAAGGGAAAGGTTTGTAACGGCATCTCCAAGAAGAGCCGCCTCTAGAAATAGGTTGAGCCGGCTCCTTTATTGGCCTGCGTACACCAACTCTTGGGATTTCTCAAATGCCCAAGAGAGCCGGCTCCAGCAACTACTTGAGGCGGCTCCAAAAAAAATGTGGAGCCGGCTCCACAAAAAGGAAGAGCCGGCTCCACTCATTTACATCCTTCCTATTTCACTCGGCACCTCTCAAAAACCCATAAGAGCCGGCTCCATGATCATGGTTGAGCCGGCTCCCTTCAAGTGTCCTATTCCCATTATATCTCGGCACTTCCTAATTTGGGGTCATTATTGAAACATTCCAGAGAGCAAACTGACTTAGGAGACTTCATCTTGCTTTGGGCGAATTCTTCCATATGATGGGTTCCTTCACTGGTATGTTAAATCCATGAAATTCCCTCTTCAATTTATATATATTCCTGCTCTTAATTTTTAGTCGAAATTAGCACAAACATAATTCACTATAGAATTTTTTGGTGTCTTTGATTCTTTTCAGTTGAAGATATGGTATTTGCAAGAAATTGGTGGATCTGTATGTTCGATCCACTTCATGCCTTGGGTTGTTAAGTTTTTTTTTTTTTTTTTTTAAATAAAGTCAGAAAGAACCTAACTTACTGTTTTATGTTGTTGATCATCATTGATTACATTTGTGATCAAACCCCTCTCACCCAAAAAAGTAAGAAGCCAAATTTAAAGATTAAATTAATGATCATTTTTTTACTTTTCTCTGTTGTTACTTGCTTGAAGGAAGATCTAGTAATTGGGTTTTCTATGCGATCTGTTGATTGTTTCAGTACTTACCAATATGATTATTTCATTGACTTTATTATTGTTTTGTTGATTTTATCATCTTTTTTGTTGAAGGAAATCAAACTTTTAAGCGAAAATTCATTTGTGCTCTTGAGTATGAATGTTATTTCAACTTCATTTTAGGAATAAAAATGAGTTACATTTTATTTATTTATTTTTTATTTTTGGGTAAATTGCATTTCTTTTTCTTTGTTTTACTTCTGCCGCCTAACATGACATAAAATTGGTTCCCAGAACAATTTTTCTTCAAAGGAGCTGCCTCCCATTTTGGGAGCCTGCTCTACTCATATTGGAGCCTCCTCTACTTAAAGTAGAGCCTGCTCCATTCATATTGGAGCCTCCTCCACTTTTACTTGAGCCGGCTCCTTTTATAAGATTTGATACATTAAAGAAGATCTACACTAAACTATATTGAGGAGACTATAGTTTAAGCAACCATCATTGGGTACAAATGCAGCGATCTTCTTCCCGTTCTTAATCAGCTACACACGAGCAGATTTTCTCATGGTAGAGTTGGGCTGCTTAGCCTCAATACCACTGCATAAATTAGTTAAGTGCTGTTGAGTTTTGAAATATTGATTTGGAAAGAGAAGATGAATGTGGCATTTGCTACCAAACTGAGCCTTAGAACCGAATCTTGGGGCAAAAATATTGTTGCATATTTAAATCTAAAAATTTATCTTTTAAAATATATAAAGGGCATAATAGTAAATTTTTTATTATCCTTCCCTTTCCTTTCTTTTCCCAAACATGATTGTTATCATTGCCTTTCTTTTCCTTCATTAATCAACCAAACACGATCGAGGATTAAACTTATCCTTCCCTTCCCTTCCCTTCCCTTTCCTTCCCTTTCCCTTATAACTAATGTTATTCTTCCCCTTCAAATCCATCCTACCAAACATAGCCTTAGTGATTGTCGGAGTCCGCGTGATAGAGGTTGGTTACCAATGTTCATAAATGAATTTGTCATTTAAATGTATTATGAACATTTTGGACTCCACGAATCAGCCCACATACAAATAACAAATATAAAATGGTAGAATTTTTCTACTTTCAAATTATATAAATAACAAATATAAAGTGGTACACGCAAATTTTGTGTCCGAAAAATTATGAATGAAAATGCAGAGCAAATAATCAATTTTATTGATTTTTGAAAAAGGTTCAATCATTTGTGATTGATTCTTTTAGAATTAAGAATCTTTTCCTGATACAATTTTCTTGAATTGTCCGTTGCAAGGGCTTCAAAATTTAATATTGAACTGGTCGTGGAAGTCATTCAAGTTCTTTAAGATTGAAGATGAGTAGAAGACTTGAACGAAATTTTCAATCGAAAGACTGGCAAAACTTGATTTCGAATAATGTGTTTTGAAAGTCTTTTAAGAAGAATGATACTCTTGTAATGTGCTTGTTGTTTTCTTTAAAAAGTTTGGGTCTTGAATGAGTCAGAAATTTAGCCGGATCTTGAAAATGTTGAATGTTTTTGAACTTACAGGTTAGAAGTTGAGGCATTTTTTTAGTAACTCCCAAATAATTTTTACCTTTAATAAATAAGATCTTCCCATTGATGGAATTGGCATGTTCAAAAAACAATTTTACCACAAATAAATGAATTTTTTCTTCCCTCGTCAAGCAAATAAGAAACCCTAGAAATTCTAGAGAGGGAGAGTTATGAGACAATTGCGCACACATGCACATTACCCCTCCCTTTATATAAGCATACAGTGCTAATGTCATGCATGTTCCTAAGACAGCAAGAAGTGGGTTTCCTTCATCTCTTACTTTCCTTAATCTTCTTTAACTCCTATCCAAGTAAGGCTGGGAATGGAATCTATATGGAGGTCAACTCTTGACTCACTTAATTACTTAAATAAGTATTTCTTAAAATATAGATTAAGGTGGAAAATGTAATAGGTTCAGCATCCAGTTGGAACCAAAAAAAAAAAAAAAAAAAAAAAAAAAAACGAAAAGAATAATGCATAATAAGTGTGATGATTTAATTAGTACTTTTCACGATTTTATTTTCTTACATGGCTTATTTAATATCTTATAAGTTATATAATTTTAAGAAGTATATGAGTAATGAAAAGCAACACAAAAGAGAAAGCGCAAAAACTTTTTACATCGGATTTGACTATGCCACGTAAGAATTAAAAAATGATTTGATTAAGCTACGTAAGAATTAAAAAAATTAAAAAAGAAAGAGTCTCCTCTTACATGGTATAAATGAAGATGAAAAAAAGGAAAGAAAAAAAAAATGGTGTTTCTCTTTCTTTTAAAAACTCTCTAAAATTGTTGGTAGAGAGTAAAAAAAAATAATCACAAACAGAAAATTACTTGTTCTCGTGTTCCATAAATTTAAATTTATAAAGTAAAAATTCATGGAACCATACAAAATTACAAATACAGTATTATCTATACTATGTATAAACCAAATATTTATTGTTTTAAAATTTATTCTTTTAGAGAAAAAGTAAGGGTCTAGAGTAATTTTATGAAAAGTGACGCTTGAAGAGAAGTGTATATATATTTAATTTTAGAGAGTTTTATATTTTCCACGAAGGAAAGAGAAATTACCACGAAGGAAAGAGAAATTATCATATATATATATATATATATATATATTTTTCATTTATACCATGTAAGATGGACACTCTTTATTTTTTTAATTCAATCAGATTCCATCCTGGATTACAAGTAACTTGCTGCTGTAGTAAAAAGTTGTATTGCACGAATTATGTGTTATATCTGTATATCCAACTCTGACATCAAGAAGGTTCGAAGTTCGAACTCTCACCGTGACACGATAAAGATATATAAAAAATCGAAAGACGTGGGTGTTATATACGACCCGGCGCACCATAGCGGTTACCCTTATTGTCTCTGGGTCCTTCGGTTCCTACATTCTTTATCTTCCCTTCTCTCGCCTTCGATCCCCAAATTCACTATATCACTGGCCTCTCCTTTACGTTCGAATACCCATCGTCGTCTCTTCGCTTCGCTCTATTAATATTCGTGGTCGCTTTGCTCTTTTTCAGCTTCAAATTCGCTGATTTTCGATCTGATTTCTTCGATTCTCCTAACAAAACAGGTGATTTTTACGTTCTGGCTTTAAATTTTCTGTTTGTGCTTTTTTTTTTTTTTATATAATTTTTTTAATTCAGTAGCAAATTGTATTCAATCGTTGAATTCAAAACATTGATTCATTGATTTATATATATATATATATGAATTGGCTTTGAAACAACCTGTTTTGAGATAATTAGGGTGTTCGATAAAGGCAACAACTTTTTATTATTTATTAATTTTTTTTTTTGATCCGTGTTGATAAAGGGTCTGAATCTCTGATTTATAAGAAGATTTGATTAGGGTTTCTGATTTCTGACCATTATAATTTTCATTATACTTCAAACAGAAATACAATTAGAAAGAGAGAGAAAGAGTTAGGAAAGAGAAATCCGGTAAAACCCGAGTCACCGCTGTTCGCTTTTGATCCTCTTTCTGTCTCTACATTCAAGGAATCTGAAACCCCAAGCCACTTATTAAAAAAAAAAAAAAAAAAATACGAAGTAATTTTTATTTTTTTTGGGTAAGCCCTAATCCGAAGTAATTTTTATTTTTTTTGGGTAAGCCCTAATCCAATGCTCTGATTTGCTATTTGCTTTGATAATTTTGTTCTAGCAACTTTTGTAGTTCTTTTACGTACTTGATGGATGAATTTTTGTGTGCAAAAGCCATACGTTCAGATTAAAAAATATCAAATTAAATTTTAGCTGTTTACGGCAAAAAAGATCATCTGTAATATATACACACACCCACACCCACACCCACACCCACACCCACACACACACACACACACACACACACTTATATATTATATTACTATGTCTCTAGTACTAAGTAATATAACTAATTTTTGTTTACTGTTGGTCTTTAAAAAACATGGTTAAAATCCCTTTTTTGTTATTGGGCTTTGCAGGATTTGAGTTTTTGTAGTAGCAGCTGTCCAAATACTCTTGGAGAATTGAAATGGCTATGAGGGGATATAACAGAGATGTAAGTGGTCTTGAGTTTATGTGGAATTACTGCATCTCCTCCCATATATTTCACACACTTATAGTTAACTGTATACATAAAAACAGGAACAATTTTGCATTGATGGATAATATGTTGTGATTATATAGGAGTATGAAGATTTGGATGAATATGAAGAGGAGGATGAAGAGCAAGAGGAAGGAGGTGGTGAAGAGGAATATGAAGAGGAAGAGACTCATCAGCCCACAAAGGAGGAATTGGAGTACCTTGAACTGAGGCACCGATTGAAAGAAGATATCAGAAGGCAGTTGAAGAAGAAATCTGGGTCTGCCAATTTCCGAGAGAATAAGAACAAACTACCCTCTGACAAGTGAGTATTTTACCAATTTCGCAAGCTTGCTAGACAAGACCTTTGATTAATTTGTTGGGCATAACAAGTTCTGCATGTTTGTAGTGCATATGTTAATTGAAGTAGCCTACATATATGTTATTGACAAGACTGAGTTTCACTTTATATGTTCCAATGGAATTTGCAATGATGTATTTCATTCATGTTAGAAGCCCTATTATCATTGGCATAGGGGACTAGTCATCTGTTTACTTTTGTTTATTTGAACATGTATAAGTTATCACATTTTTAAGACGTTGAGGTTGGGTAACTGCATTGTTGGCACGTGCTTTTTGTAAATTGCTTTATATGGATTCTGATAAGTCGGTGACTTAAGTGAGATGAAAGTGTAAATCAGTTATTGCTTCCATTTATCCTTTCCCTTTTGTTTCATGTTACCTTTTCCCCCCCTTCAATTTGATATCATGTATATGCAATATATAATTGGTGCACTTCAAAAAAGGGAAAAAGAAGAAATTCAAATTCACACAGTCCCTTTCTTTTGTGGGGTTGAAGGAAAGTGGTGGGTTAGCGCATCTTATTTGATGTTTTCCTTGTGAGGTAATTGTTTAAAATGTCATACTGGTGTTTCACAACTGAAAATGCACAATTTATATGCCTTATGGATTGCAGACATAGGTTAATTTATGAAGATTTTATGACGGCAGAAAAAAAGAAAAAAGAAAAGAAGGAAAGATAAAAAAAGGTGCATCTTTTGTAGTTTTTTGCCCAGTGCATTTGTGAGGCAGAAGGAATATCGTTTGATTCATTTTTAGGTACTTTAACATCTGATTGAAGTGTCTTCCAGGTGTCTAAACTATTAATTCTTATATATATATATTTTGCCTTTTTCAACAATTGAGCTATAGTATCATGTAATTGATAGTTAATTAATAATCCATATGTTTCCGTTCTGCTCTATCTAAGGCCATAGCTTTAGTCAAACCACAGGCATGATTCATCCTAGTGAAAACTAATTCTGCATTTTAGTCCTATACAATTCATTCTTGACATACTTGTTTCATATCTTGCAGTTATGGATCCTTTTTTGGACCTTCACAGCCGGTTATTGCTCAAAGAGTAATTCAAGAAAGCAAGTCACTATTAGAGAACCAGCATTTGGCAGCTAAGGTTTCTAGATCACATAATGGGGTATGTTCCATATTCCCTTGGTTTTGGGGTAGCCCATGCCTGCATACTGCAAAACTGATTTTGTCTTCAACCTGCTACCTACATGAATGATGAACCTGGAGGGTTGTGTAACCCACCATTTGAAGTTATCTCCTTAGAAATTGTGTTCCTTTTTGATAATATTCTGTTATCTTTGACAGTATAAATTCTTGGTTTATTTTAAATGTCTAGGAAAAATACAAGAATTTATGGTTATCATAATAATTGATTTGGAATATTATTTATCAATAAATAAATAAAATAATTGGTTTTAAAATATGTCTCAGGTCATAGTTAAGTAGAAAAATATTTCTAGGATATATGCCTCAGAAACTGTGAGGTTCAATGAATGTGCCTGATTATTCACAACTAGAGTCTCAGGTCATAGTTAAGTTGAAAAATATTTCTAGGATTTATGCCTCAGAAACTGTGAGGTTCAATGAATGTGCCTGATTATTCACAACTAGAGGAAAACCTATTTTCATTTCCAACCATAATGCGTTCCCTTCTCTCCCCTCCTCCCCCACCCACCCCCCACAACAACTACAATTCCTTTTACTATTACTGCACCACATTGGTGGCTTTATCTTTTTTGGTCACCACATCAACAGTTGTGGCTATGTATGTAACCTTTGAGGTTTTACAGGAAGAATTAGGTTTACTGGTTGCTCAGTTTCATCTTTTGTGACTCTCTATTATGGAAGTTTGTAGTTAAGTCTTTGTAACCACCTTTGAGGTTCTATCGGGGGGATTCTAGAATATTAAGAAATTCTGTTTACTGGTTGATCTGTGTACTTATTGTGATTCCTTATTGTTTAAATTTGTTATAACTGCGGAAGGAACTGTTGAAATCTGGTGTGTGTTACTCAGATTGCTTTGTTGGTTCATCCCTATTACATGTAAATTCGTGCTTATATTATGATAGTGCGAAATAAGTAGACTACACATGCACTAAAAGAATTATTATCTTTTGATCTTATTTATGACGAAGTTGATGACCTTACTTGCCTCTGCAGAACAATAAGAGCCTTGCTTCAGCAACCGCAAGACCTCAGCCTCAAGTCAATGGCCACCTTCCTAAAGTAAAAAATGAGGTATAGAAGCGAATTTGATGTAGATTTTTCCCTTAACTTCGAAATAAATGTGATATTTATTAGGGATATATATACATATATTCTTATCTTTTTTTTCTTTTTCATGCTTTAGTTACAAGTGAAAGCACAGAGACTTAAGGATACACGAGATTACTCTTTTCTATTATCTGATGATATAGAGCTTCCAGCACCTAGAAAGGATCCTCTACCCCGAAATGTCTCTGTTTCACGTTCTGGTGCGTTGCTACTTACCATGCATGAGACTGTTGATCTGTTAGCCCCCAAAGCATACTATTTTCATTGTGAAAACTTATACAGGTTTTTTGGTGATGTTGAAGAGGCGCGATCAGCTCAGATGCCATCAAAGAGCAAACCGTTGTTGAGCAATTCTGGAAGACAAGTTTCTAATGGCCGTGAGGAGAGGAAACCTACGTCCCATGTTTCTAATGGTCGCGAGGAGAGGAAACCTACGTCCCACGTTTCTAATGGTCGTGAGGAGAGGAGACCTATGTCCCATGTTTCTAATGGTCGTGAAGAGAGGAAACCTATGTCTAAAAGTACCCACATGCCACCTAAGGCGGGGTCCCACAGATTAATTTCTGTAGCTAAGCCCAATAGGACAATAGTGGACTCTAGGAAACAGCTTGGTAGCAACAGTGGAAATGAGCCTCGTCGGCCTCTTGGGTCAAAAGGTTTGCCTACTAAGAAACCTGCGGCTGTAATGGAGAAGAAGGGATCTCTACCGGGTGCAAAGAGTTCCACTGCTGGTTTACACAAGCCACTATCTTCGAAGTTGCAATATGCTACTCCAAAGCAGTCCATAGATTCAAGAAAGGAGTTTCATGAATCTAGCAAGGGAAGGGTGATCCCTAAACATCCAGTGTCATCCTCTAAACCTCAGGTCTTATCCTACTTCCTGTGGAATTGTATTTTATGCATGAACGTTTGTTATGTTGGATTTTTTTTTGGGTATAATCCGTGAAAGAATCCCTTATTATTATTATTATTATTATTTGTTTTATACTTTGACCTTGCATGAAAAGCAGATTTTTCCAGCCTTTTTTCTGGTGAAAATTCCTGCATATCTAATGAAAGATTGCATAATATACATTCTTATGTTCTGGGTCCTTGATGACACATGCACAGATGAACAAGGTACTGCCTAAAACTGCATCCCGTGCCACTTTGCAAGAGGAACGTCCAAAGAAAAAGCCTGTAAGAAGGTACTCTGATGATGAGGATGATGGTGATGAAGCAATCAGTATGATTAGGCAAATGTTTGGGTAAATAACCTTCCTTCCTTTTATATTATTTGATTTTGGCCTCTATGCAATTGAATTATTCTTCATGTTGATTCAATAATTTAACCCAGTTGATTGTTGATTTGAATAATCTATATGTGGGTGTTTGATTATAGTCTTAGATTTGTTGGATATAATTGTAGCATATTTTTATTTATTACAAGTAAGCCATCAGATGCAATCTCCCCCCTCAAAAAAGAGAGAATATAAGAAAGAAGAACAAAGAAAAAAGAGAAAAAAAAACTCTTCAAGGGAAGGCACTTGTTTTATTCTTTAATAAAGGTAAATGTTTATATTTTTAAACAATAATGTAATTGCATGTCTTGTAAGGGACATATTATTAGAATCAACAAAACTTCAGTTGTGGAATGTAATTTTGATTTGGTCATACTTGACATGAAGTGTGTTCTGTTTGATGTGGGTGATGATGCCATTTGGATGGTCTATGTTTCTTTTCCATGTTAAGCAAATTGGTGATTTACTTTGCAGGTATGATCCACAAAAGTTTGCTGGTCATGATGAAGATGATAGTGACATGGAGGCCAACTATGCCGATATTATGAAGGAGGAGAAGAGGAGGTTAGTATGGTTTTGTTGTAGCATGAATTCCTTGTCTATTTATGGTTTTTGGAAATGCTTTCTTGTTCATTTCTGTATGTCGGCCTTCTCCAATATTATACACTCATTTGAGTTTATATATTTTCCCTTTAATGCTTATAAACCTTAAATCTACTCTTGTATATATATATATATATTTTTTTTTCCAATTTTTTTTTTTATTTCTACTTCTGATTCACCTGCCACCTCCTCTATTGCTCTCTTCTAGACACACATATAGCGAGTTACACGCTATCTTGCAAATAACATCTGGTATATTAGTATGCACGCCTTTTTTTTTAAGACTTGCAGAATTTAAAGCATCAAATGCTTGATGCTTGGTATAACAGGATTTTTATTCTATTTGAAAGAAGTTGCGAGCTCCTGTTGATGGTATTATTATTATTTTACATACAGAGCCATGATTTTTGTAAATGGGGGGTTTCTGTGTGTAGAACATTTGAAAATGAATCTGATGATTTTGTCCCCTTAGTAATACTCTTTCTAGGTCAAGTGCTCAACAAAGGAGGAAAAAACAACCATCTGTTTGTGAATTTTTTTGCCTAAATGATCATTAAGATGGTTTTTGGGAATTCCTTAAAAGAAATTTCTCTCAAGAGTTTCCTTGTTAGAATGTTGTGTAAATATATCTTGTGTGAATCATATGTTATATATGTGTTTGTGTATAAATGCGGATGTGTGTATTTTTTATTTATTATATATATATATATATATATAAATGAAGGCATGCGTGCTCATGTTTGAGTTAATTTTGTGAGCTAGCAATTATTTGATGGATGCTCATACAGGCTTTTCTTTTTTTAATTTTTTTTTTAAATCTGTTTTCCTCTGGTTGTGGTCGTGTCTCATATACCAGTGATTTCTTGTGATTCAGTGCACTAATTGCTAGGAAGGAAGATGAAGAAGAACTACGGAAGATTGAGGAAGAAGAGAGGCAGGAGCGGTTGAGAAAGAAGCGTAAGCTGAGCCAACGATGACCATAGAAGAAATTACGTTGATTAGCTGGGTGAAATAGTTGAAGTACCCCTTAGTTTATTTGCCCATTTTGTTTTAGTTTTCTATTTTATTTTATTTTGTGTCAAGGTGCTGAATTATGGGTTCCTTTATTTGTCAGTTACAGGATAAATATTGTAAAACGTAGGGTTTTTTTTGGGGTCTTTTCTTGGGGGTACTGGTGATGCTGGGAAGGTAATTTGTAGCCTTGTAGGTGAATGAATCTTCATTTGTGTCGGAATAACAGAAAGTGAAAATTTACTGTGACAACAATGGCTCCTAACTGGTATTCACATAATGTCATCTCTTCTGTTTTTTTCCAGCTCAACCCATTTGTATGTATAATGCACATGTTGAAATAATGATGATAATGAAAATATTAAGAATGATATAGTGTTAATAGTAAAAGACAAATGTAAAAAATAAAAAAATTGATGGGAAAATGAAATTGGTGGCATTTTCTTATGGAATTATAAGTGAATTACTCAAATATAAATAGGTTGAATTTGGCATTTTAATGAATTGTTTTTACTCGTTCATAATGGTTCATAATGGTGTCGGTCTCTAAAAGGAAGATGTTGGGGGATATAAAGCATGCTTGGTTTGTAATTATAGAAATAGTTTTCTATTCTCAGAAAATTGAAAATTGAAAACAGTACAAAAAAGTATGCTTGGTTGAGTTTTCAGAAAATAAATGCATGTTTCTGAGAACAGTTTTCTGAATTCTTGAAAACAGTTTTTTGAATTCTTGAAAACGGTTTTCAGAGTAAAAAATTAGACAAGCCTAAAATTCCTTGTGTGTAGTTATAGAAGAAAGAGAAGAGTAGAAAAGAAAAGAGAGGAAAACAAGATCTCATAAGAGAAGGATAAGAGAAGGAACGAAGAAACAATTCTCTTCTTTAACGCTTATATATTTCTTTTTACAATATATGTTTTTTGAGTTATAAATTTCGTGCCATTGAATGAAAGATTAAAAAAAAAAAAATTTGATTCATGTAGCCTGATCTTAAAAGTCTAATGCCATTTGCTGATTTTGTCATTTTTTTATTTATTTATGAGTTAGTCTCTCTCACACACATGATATACACACACACACTAACTCATCCATTTTGCTTTTTTGGAGATTCGAACATTCACCATCCAATTTAGAAGATAGAAGAGATATTATTGAGGCACAAGACCCTTAGTATGATATATTTCTTTTTATTATATATATATTTTTTGAGCTATAAAATCCGTCCCAATAAATGAAAGAAAAGAAAAAACAAAATTCATGTAGCCTGATCTTAAAAGTTTATGTCATTTACTGATTTTATCATATTTTTTTGATGAATTAGTTACACACACGTATATATATATCATGTGATTCTTCATTTCATCTCTCTTGTTCATGGTAGGAAATTTCTTCAGTCATTGAATCTTGGGTGTTTGTATCTTTCAATTGGTGATTATTTTTATTTCTGCACCCATAGGAGCACTTGTAATTATGTTACTTGCATGCTAATAATTTTTAAAAATGTTTTAGGTTCATGATTTATTGACATGTATTAGCATTAAAATTTAGGATTAGCAAATGACATAAGACTTTTATATTTGCTCTTCTTCATCTGCATGTTTGATTATTGCCTAGAAAAGAGATTGTACCACACAGGTCCTTCTTTGACTCACAAACACATGCTCTGAACAAACCTCCTCTCACTTTCAGCATTAAACCAATAGGAGGATTTTGCTTTTTATAAATGAGGCTATAGATTGATTTTGTGTTAAATCCTTAAAATGTCGTATGAATTTGATTTTCATCATTTCCTACTCTCTTAAAACTCGATGTTGCTACCCAAATGTCAAGTGATTGTGGGCCCATTTTAAAACCAAAATATACAAAAATTCTTTCTGGATTGGGACATGTTTTGAAAACAGTTGTTAAGAATACTATTGCAATCCATTTGGTATTGAGAAGTTGGAATGAGATTGGAAGGCCGAGTTCGAATAACCCATTCTCACCTCACTTCACTGTTTGGAGGTTGGGAGTTTAAATTCTCTAAAGGTCACTGTCAGAAAATTTTTGGATAATTGTCCGGTGTATATGGGACATGAGAATGCATGTAGGTTGGGAGTTCGAATTCTCTAAAGATCACACTGATAATTGTCTGGTGTACATGGGACATGAAAATACATGTATTTGGTGGTGAATTATTATTAGGTATTTTATAAAAAAAACAACAAAAAAAAAAACATGTAGTGTAGTGTAATGGAAATTCTTCTCCATCTCAAAATAAATGTCTTTTATCTTTTGGAATACTGTAACTTATTCTTTTTGGGACATGGACGAGATGTAATATATAAGACACATTAAGGTATCTGCTGCTGCGAGTTCTGACGACGGCCATCACAAAATTACACCAGTAACTAGTGAAAATGCATACGTATAACCTTCGTTCAGAAACAAATGATGGTTTATACCACTGCTTATGCTCTCACTCTTGACAGCAAGATCTGCGTCATGGGTGGCTTTCTTATTGATTCTGAATCCATCACTTCCAAATTATTTTGAGGTTTTTTATCCCTCCGAAAAGGAAAAGAGCAAGAGGTGTTGGAAACCAGCTTTTTCCTATATTCCCTGTGATATAGCTGGTGGTCATCTTTGTGCACACCAACTTACTGTAACAAAGACGCAGAGGCAGCTTTTGGTGTATAGCGTTGTCCCGGGATTTGGGTACCTGTATTCATATGATTTTGATGATCAATCATGGAATCTTTGTTATGATGGTGACTTTGGTCCGGAATGTATCTATGTCACTCTTAGATGACATAATGTATTGCTATAACTGCACGACAGCACGAATTTAGACGAACCTCTAGATTCTGCACCAGGGAGGATTATGGGTTTTGATGTCAAGAACACTAACAGCCCCCCAAAACAAGTGAGGGGATTAGAGGAGGAGAAAGACTTCCTTCCCAAACCTAACTGTTTCGGTCACTTTCCAGTTGGGTATTTCCTCCATTTAGGGGACGATAAGTTGTGTCTTATTCTGAAAGAATATATGGGAGGACGGTCCATCATTACCTGTTTGAAGTTTAGCGTCTCTAAGGTGCAGAACTCGTCCGGGGAGGTTGTTGATTTGGTTGCTCGTCCGGGGAGGTTGTTGATTTGGTTGCTCGTCCTCTGTCCAAATCGAGTTTCGGTTTGCAGGCCAAGTTCTTAGACTGCATTGCAATGTAAGAACTAATTTTGGATTCTCTTTAACTATTGTATTCTTGTGTTCATTTTCTCCTCTCAGTTTGCCCCAATTACTATGACATGACTGAATACATTATGGAGTCTAAAACCAATACGAATCAGTCAAATTGATATTGCTGTCTGCATAATGACAACTTGTTCCTCTCCTTACTATGACATGAATGAATATACTATCTTTTAATTTTTATTTATTTTTTCATTTAAAAAGAATTCATTTGTTGATTAATATTGGATTGTTAACAATTAAGAAGTGGGTATTGAGCATCTTGTGATGGTTTCTTTGAAAGATGACAAACTTGTCGGCCCTTGACTTGTTACTTGGTGTACATACTCTTCTCTTTGTGCTATTGGAATGCAGTGGCTGGTTAAAGTTTGATCGTTGGAATTATCTGGTTCTCTTTCTGTTGTCGTTGTTGGTTCCTAATTAACTAGTTAAAGTGGAATTTTTCTTTGAAAGAAAAAGTACAAGCCTGATCAGAAAAAGGGTCAGGCACTCAAATGGGCTCTAGAGAATCGATCCTAAGATTAACAAAAGTGGTCCCAAACAAACACAACTTTGAATCTCAAAAAGGGCAGGTGCCCACAACCAAAAATCAAATCAAATGACCGTTATAAGTTATAACCAATTGACTGTTGCTGAAGCTCCAGACCAAGTACTCTGAATTTGTCAACAGTGACGAAAGCCCCAATCAAGCCAGTGGGTAGTCATTCAGAGGGGAACTATTTAATCGGATGACTGAACTCATGAGATCCCAATCCCTAACCATCTGAGCCTTTGATTGTTTGTTCAGGTTTAGAACAAACATGGTTAGGGTATAATAGCTAGTTTAAACACAAACTACTTGGCTGTATTATGGACATATTATAGTTTGCGAGTACTTGAAAATCAATAATTTTTGTAATTTGAAACTGAATCAGAAGTTGTTTTGTGGCTAGTCACTAGTGCTTCAATTTGAGCAGGTCGTATTGCGTTTGCCAAGCAAAATAGGGGTAGAGGGCTCAACCAAGGCCAACTAAACATGATTTTCAACTTTGAGCTACCCAAGCTCGAACACAGCCTAACCTGAACGTTATTAGCTGGGGTTGCTAGGACTTGAGCTTCAAGAATGTCATTTTTTTGGCGATATGAAGGATTAGATTCCTTTCTTCTATTTCATGAATGCTAACTAACATTTTTATTGCATCATTCCAGATTCACAAAGACACATGGACAAGAAAATTGTGCCTCTACTAATGCAACTTAATATCGATAATAGTTTATATAAGGGAAATGAAAAAAAAAAAAAAAAAAAACCATAGGACTCCAGTTCCTTTGATATTTAAACTCAAAGAAGTGGAGCGCCAGAGACCTATTCCAGAGTCCCAAATCTCTTTGTATAATTAGATGATGGAAATGCTTATATTTGCATGGATAAATGCAATGTTTATTACAATTTGAAGTACAAGTGAACTAGCTAGGTGCATTATATTATATATTTGTGTGTTCATATTTGGAAACCTTCAGGGTTTTAACATTCTTTGGGTGGTTGTAGTAATTTATGATTCATGCGAAAATTTGGTTTATTTGTTCCTCTGACATTTGTTTGGGCAATTTATATGAATTTGCCTGGGTCGATTAAAAGTCCTGCATTTCAAGGAAGGGGAACAGAGGAAGATATCCGCTGCAAACTATCAACAAGATCTGTGTCATCGGCAACAATCAATGACAGTGAGGAGGAGGGCAGTGGTGGTAACTGTGATAATGCAGCAACAGGATGAAGATAAAAATATGAAAAAGCACGCAAACACCTACACCAACACCAACAGAAGGAAAAATTGAATCAAGAATAAATTACTTTTGAATCAGAGCTATGGAAAGATATCTTTCAGTTGGCGAGTGTTTTTTGTATGGCACACCTCCTGATTTAGTGTGCACCTATGGCGGTATGGAGCACTTGCAATATGGTACGTATTCATGTCCTAGTAATTAAAAACTTTTAGGTTTTGATCAAATTCCTTTTTTCCTCATGCTTGAATGATAAAAGTTTAATTATTCCTTTTCCTTCTCTCTTTGTACCCTTTACGAGTGTTGATAGATATCTCCAAATTCA